TGTATGCGTATATGTATGTATGTGTGTATGCGTATATGTATGTATGTGTGTATGCGTATATGTATGTATGTGTGTATGCGTATATGTATGTATGTGTATGTACATGTATGCATGCATTTGTATATATGTATGTGTGTGTATATATGTATGTGTGTGTATATATATATGTATACATAAGTGTGTGAGATTTGTTTCTGTTTATAATATTAATATCTAATAGCAAAATATATAATATTTTGCCTAATACAACCAACAACATTTCATATATTATATAACTTCATGTACATATTATATCCAGTATGACATTTAAATGGTTTTGATTCTAAATATAAATATGTAATCTAACTGAAAGGTCTTAGAAATAGTTTTTTACTTTCCAAGAGGTTATGACATGTAAGAGATTGTGAAATTATCATTGACTTGTCTTACATGTTATTAAAATCACATATGAGTTGCCTCCTATTTATTCTGACAGCAACTGTCTGAATTATGGTCTGACCCAAGATGGCTGCCTTCTAGCCTCTTCAGCCTATAGCTCCCAGCAGCGTCTGATTGGGCGTCAATGTATTGATGTCTGTTGACCAAGTGCTCCATTTTAGAGTTGAAATCTGACTTTATATCCACAATTTATAAACACAAAGCTGTACATAACAGGGAAATAGCAGTAGTTGCAAACTAGTTGAAAATTTAAATTTCTGTGTTCAGTTTTTAACCGGAGTTAATTCAAGCTTCACTTTCCTCAGTGTAATCAGTGAAGCTGCCATTAGCTTAGCTCATACAAAGTTCCAGTTTTAACATGAATCATTTTAAAGTATATGAATACTGCTGTCAGAATACATTCATATCTGAGCTAAACTAAGTTATTTAATCATTACTTCACTTAACAATTTTAATTCTTTAAGAGAACAGCTATTAGCCTGAAGATGCTTTGCTAACATTACCAGCCACAACTAGGAAGTAAATCGTAATGTATAAAGAGGCGGGATTTCCTGAAAAGTAGCGGATTACAGAAAGTTTACTTTCTCAGGTTGGTTCCTCCCTCAGAGTGATAAAAGTTTACATGAGCTACAAAAACGGGTCCACAGTAGGAGAGAATGTACAGTAGCATAAATCACGAGAGAAGGAGCATGAACTGATTGTTGTGACCCATTTGGAGCCTCATGACCCAGTCACAATCCAGACATATCCTGCTGAGACTGTGTGGCAAGGCTTAAAAATTAAAGTTCACAGATGCTTTCCATCCAAACTGATTACATAAACATGAGAATGCACACAAGCTTTGTCCTGCTGAAGGTTGGTAAGGCTGTCCCATTAAAAAACTTGCGACTATTATTAATGGGACATTCAAGGTGAAATGGGACTAAATATGATAAACATCAAGGGTCCTGAAGCTGGTTCTACAAGATGCTGAAAATGCCTCCCAATAGAACAGTGATTATTATTTAGAGTAAATCAAATGTATATCAGCTAAAATATTAGGTGTTGGTATCTGATCCCTCTGCTCTGCGTTTCTGTTCCCAGGTTGGTGGTTCGTCAGCACATCTGAGCAGCAGGGATGGGTCCCGGCCACATACCTGGACTCCCAAAATGGGACCAGAGACGATTCAGATCTGGCCACCTCCAGGACCGGAGAAGGTTTGTGCACTGAAACATTATTACTGTCATAAAGCACAAAAACACATAAACGTCAGCGTGGCAGACTCGCTGTGGGGGAAATGTCTGCATGGAAGACGCAGACATTTCTCAACCGTGATGTTTTTCCTGTGTTTGTTTTCCACATATAAATCTGAGGCTGAAAACAGCCTTAAAAAGTTAATCCTAAACACACCTCCAGCCACACATTTGGATCCTTTGAGGCTGTAGTCGCAGCATTATGGTGAAAGGGTACCAGACAACAGCCAAACAGGCTGCAATACTTTGGCACCAGAGAGAATTCCTCCCAGTTTCCCCAGGAGGCTCCAACTGTGCAGGAACCTCGTTTTGTTGTGACCCTTTTCTCCCAAATGTTTAGTCTGAGTGCTGACATGAAGCATTTCACCACTGTGTCACAACACTCCCCCCATTTTGTGCTTTTAGAGTGAGGGAAACTCATTGAGATATATAACGTGCAAACACACAAGTTTGCATACATGTCTGCTGCTCAGAAATCCTAATAAAACTTTTATCTGAATGCAAACAGTTTATTTCCTGCAATAAATCCAGAATGCTGCAATAGTTTATTGGGATGTCAACTGCCTTCCGATTAACATTTTCTCTCTCGCTACACACTTTGCTGGTTTTTGCAGATCCCGCAAACCCCTTTTGGCTAGAATAATGACAGCTCCTTAACAGGAGAAACCAAAACATACATATTTTTTTTGTCTTTAAATGCTTCATAAATTCAAATCTTAAATTTCAAATAATGTATAGCAGTCAGACACTTTAGAGCTAGATTAATCTTTGAAGGAAGTTTTTACTAGGTATATACAGAGAATGTTTTCCAAATTTGGAGAAAGCTTTTCAAATCCATGAAAACATGTTTTACCTTTCATAACTGTCATTAAAGTATTTGTTAACTTAACTGATACAGATAACTTCGGAGTTTTGTAGTTAGAAAAGGTGTATACAAAATACAGTAGCAGTCATAAGTTTGGACTCAACTCAAATTTTTTCTGTTTGGATTTGATTGCCAAAATTAAACTCACAATATAGCCCTGGTTTATTTTTAATCACAATAGGACCATTGACAAAATAAACTGAGAACTAAACTGGGGAAACACATATATAATGTGGTTGATAAACCATTTAAATTTTCGACCCAACAAATAGCCTCATTTAGCTTTTATAACTGCTTAAAAAACTCCATTCATTCTTGAAATCCAATTGTCACTAGAAATTTCTACTTGTCTTTCTGTCAACATCATAGAGGTTTGCAGAATTCCTGGGTCCTTTATTCTTGATTTTTCAAGTTCATTTTGTACCTTTTTGTTCTGGTAAAGGTCAGGGGTTTAGCCAAGTCTTCATCTTTAGCTTTACTCCTAATCTTTCTTGACTGAATACCTCTGTGCTTTATTGCTGTATTATGAACGGCTGTGCCATTAAACACAGTCCACAGTGAATGGCATGTAGAGTACCTGTGCCATCATGGGTCTGACCTCTTGCTTAAAACACCCCTAGACCACCACACTACCTCCACCGTACTTAACTGTGGGAACAAAACATACAGGAGTGAAGCGTTCCCCAAACATCTGCTAAAATTTGAAACTTTGTCTCATCTTTAAACAAACTCTGTCTGGCTTTCATAGTGGTACTTAGCTTGTGTATACTTGTCCTTTCAAACCAGATTCCTGTAGTCTATGCCGTACAGTTTCCACTGAAACATCACTGCCTTTGGTTGAGTTCCACTGAGCTCTTATTTTTGGGTCTGCCTTTAATCTATTCCAAAGACTGGTGACTCTGATAAACTTGTATTCAGCTTCAGAAGGTATTCTGCCCTTCCCTGAAGGAAAGCCGTCTTAAAGGTATAGAGGACTATGTTTTATTTCCAGGTGGATCATCTAAAGTGGTCCTTCTAACTGTCAATTATTTTGGTGATATGTTTACATAAGGCAATCCTACAAGTTCGTCCCGTTAGCTACGTTTTCCTGAGCATGCTCACTTTCAGGCGTATATCTGTGGTGAGCTACGGTTTCAGATAGTCATTGAAGCTCACCTTCCTCACCGCGGTTCTTTGAAAATGGCTGAAAATGGTCGTAAGAGAAAAAGTGTCTACGAAGTGTATGAGAAGAAAAGAAATGCCTCAGAAGATGCAGATATATTCGCTGTTGCTAACCGACAGCAACGACTAATAACAAAGATGGCGCAGGCACCGCGCAGTAAAGAGGAGTTATGTAACCAACAAAGTAAAAAGTAGTGATCATCTGTCTGAACGGTCAGTTAACTGAGTTCAATTTAAAGTCCCTTATACAGTCCCCGCTCAATATAGTGATTGAGGGATTTAGGGGTTAGTGCGGACGTTTGGGCACAGTAAGCTTGTATAAGCAACTTTCTTAATTATGGCATATTGTACAGTTTTGAGCTTTGTCTTTTATAATCTGAAAAAAGTTGAGTTCTCATCACTCATTAAAATCCTCCTTTCTTTATATAAACAAATTCTCATGTGAATTGGCAACAAAAATCCCAGAAAGCTAGATTGTTGATTGTTCCAGTCGATGAGAGAAGCGTTTATTCTCTGGTTAGAAAATGTGCTAATAACTTAATTTTGCTTTCATGATCTACTGTAATGATTGAAAGAGAAGGGTAAAAAAACAAGTAAAAGCTGAGTAATATCTCAGCAAGTATTGATGCAAGACTTCATCAAAGCTACAATTATCAGACCTAAGATTGGCGTTGACCTGAATCAATACTCAGCTTAATATTACCTGGGCAGTACCTCCACTTTTAGTACCTCTGTGTTTGCACACATCATTCCTGATCTCCTTCCCTCAGATCACCCTTTACATCTTATTATCTCCATGTGGTCTGTAACCTAATTCCGCTGACAGCCTGGTGCGCTGGAGAGAAACCGACAGGCACATCTCTGCTGAAATTACCTCGAAATAACATTTCCTCTCTATGCCTGAGCTGATATTTCAATTAGGAGGTCAAAAAGAGCAAGGCGGAGAACAGAGGGATTGCTGCTGAGGCAAAGAGGAACCAGAAGAAAGGCGATGACACGTACCAGAGACAGAAAAAAAGGGCAGGACTGATGCTGAAAAGACAGACAATAGGAAGTCAAGAAAGAATCAAAGATGAGGGGAAAAAAGAGAAGTTGTTCAGTTAATTAGATCTCCACATTTCTAAGACAGATAAAAGACAGAAAAGGCCTAGATTAATTGGTTAGACTGCTGCAGGTTAGAGTGGGGGTAATCTCCTTCTTTTTATGTTGATTCACATATGTTAACATTTTAGAGCTTCCTTCAGAAGCTGAAGCAACAACCTCTTCACCTTAAATCCAGTTGCAGAGATCCATTTGTCTTTTAGTTCTCTTTGCTCTTTCTAAAGAACAAAATCCTCAAAATCCTTGAACTCTATAAAGGGCTCTAACTTCTCTAAATTAGAGCTGGTGTGAATACCCAGAGGGCATTAAGGTTTATGGTTTCTTCACCTTGTACAGTGCGCTCCTACTCTGAAAAAATAATAATGCAAAGCAATGTACCCTGCTCAGAACAGACAGCCCTACCCTTAGACAAGCCTTCCTGGAGCCATTTTGTTTAAAATAGCATGTGGTAGTAGAACATCAGCTCTCCCAAAGAAGTCACCGCCTCAAGATACCAAGGCATGCTGGAGAGAGGAGTTCAGTTTGGTTATGGTGTGAGCTATGAAGTCAGGATTCTGCCAAAGTGCTCAAACGTAATGCTCATTCAAGCAGTTTTACTTAAAACAGACAAATGCTCTGAGCATGTGTCTGAGACACGAGCTACAAACTACTGTCCACATGAATGTTTTATGCCTGCAAATTCAATACCATGAAGTTTCCAATTTGTGGGTGCACACATTGGGCCCTGTTGTGCTCTCATCAAACTTTGACACAACCAACCGAGGGAGTAAATTGCATGTGATTGGTTACTTTTCAGGAAATCCCAACTCTCAGGACATCTAGGGACCATCAATGTACAGTACTTTTTGAGGTGCTTTGTGGACAGTTCTGAGTGTGCTACTTTTTCATCCGGTAGACCCCTACAAAAGGGTGTATCACCTATATAGTGCTGTAGGAAGGGGTTAGAGCTTGACTCTAGTGATGGAAAGCTTGGGTCAGTCTGCTCAACAAAGCTTGAACCCTTTTGAAGCAGAAGTGTCGCTGAGAAGTGCTTTGGGCACACCCCAGTCAGTGATTGCGAGTGAGGCCGCATCACATCACACTTCATGTTGAGTTTAACAGTAAATTTTAATAGTCTGGGCGGTCCAATACTACTGAAGTATTTGAATGCTTCAAAATCACTATTCAAAACATGTTTTGTTTTCCATTTACACTTTTATTCGAAGACAGGGAAAGGAATTGATTCAGAGTAGTTTGCTACATACACATCGATCTAGATCATCGGCACAGACACACACATCACAGACTTGCACATGTCTGTTCTGCTATATAGAGTGAGGACCATGTGTTGACTCCAATTGACTTCCATTGATTTTCAGTCATTTTCAACCCTCTGTACGCCCTAACCTTAAAACTAACACTAAACCTTACCATTACCAATGTATAACTCACCCTAACCCAATTGAAACCTTAGCCCTAAACATAACCGTTAGCAAAATACCGTCTGAGGACCTGCAGAATGTCCTCACTTTGCAACAATTGCTCCTTTATTGTGATGGTGAAATGGGAAAAAATGGTCCTCACTCTTGTTTCTATACAAGTTCACCTATACCCACCACAGTCATCCACTGATTCATTTTTACCAGTTCACCATTCACACAGACAGTTAAGTTCTGGGTTACAGCTTAGATTAGGTTAGTTTAAAAGAAAAATACACAAATAACAAAATAGATTAGGTTAGTTTAGTTTATACATAAAGAAAAATTTGAAATGTGTGTGGCTGAGTAAAGTGACAAAGGGACATGAAGGGAGAGCCAGGGAGATACATAAACCACTACACTATTTACTTATTGTTTATATTTCTCCTTTATTACAATCATCTTCCTCAGTCAGAGCCATAGGAGGAATGTGGAGAACCGGTGGGAACTACTGGACAGCAGAGTTGGTTTGAATAATTTAAATGATCAGAATGATCTCAACTAGATAGTATTATCATTATGAATAAATGCCGTAATACAGAGCGTTCTGAACCTGAGCACTGCAAAAATGTATGGCCCAGTATCCTGAAGAGGCTTTTGGAGGTTTTTCTGGAGCTCCTTTATGTGGCAGTCTACTCCGTACAGCCATGTACCATCCAGGGAGACTTTTCCTTCAGAAAAAATATCACAATTTCTGAGTGAAATGTTATCATTCCCAATGATTATTATATAACACCTTTATTGCAGTTTATTTTGTACTTGCTAAATGATCAATGTGGTTTACACTAACGTTGCTCAATCGAAACGGTAAGTGTTAAAAGCTTCAAAATAAAAAAAAACAAAGTGCATAAAATTGTGCTTTGAAGTGCGTCAAACAAGTTCCAATTTCCAGTGAATAAAGAGGTTTCTACTCCGTAGTCCTTCATTTTTGTACTTTTTTTGCTCCTAACACCAGTTTATTTCCTCACTTTGCCAAACCGCTTCTTATACTAATCACTTATTTGCAACTTTTCTTTTTTTTTGTTGTCTTTTGGTTGCTGCTGCTCACCATCAGTCACTAAGAGAAGGAAGGCTCATCTGAAGAGGCTGGACCGCCGCTGGACCCTCGGTGGTATCGTTAACCGCCAGCAGAGCAGAGGTGAACATGCATACACGCCCCCCACCAAGAAACCTGCAAAAAAAGAAGTGAATGGAGAATGAAACAAAGATTGAAAGATACACCTTATATCTCTTATGATAGAGCAATCTCACACATATTCAGTTAAAAATCCATAAAGACATGGCTCAATCAGGAACAGTGTGGTTAGATTTCTTAACATTTGCATACAGTTGTGAGAATGTGTGAATTAAAATACATTTTTAGAAATTTGCTGAATTTTTCAATTGGAGCTTGCAGCAGAAATATAATTTAGGGTTGAAACGAGTCCGTTACAGTTGTCCTCTACCAGGCTGGTCTTACATAATTGCAGGCAAAGTTCTGTGATTTTTCTTTTTTTTTTCCTAGATTTTTTCATAGGTTGGTAAAAGACCTACTGTATGCATTACATCTTATGTCCTCATAAATCATCCTACTGTAGGCTTTGTTTTCATTTTTTACTAAGTCGCTCTGGAGATCTTCAAGGACTTTCTATAAAGAAAACTGTAAATTCAAAATTGGATACACTTAACTTATTTCAGTCGGAGATTTATTTTCTCAAAACTATTGTCTGAAGGTCTGTTCAATCTGTCAAGTCTCCTACGTAAGGTAGAAAGGAAATATTCAGCAGAAGGTTTTGTGTCTCTGAGTTAAACCTGTTTGTCAAATTAATAGAGTGGAAATAGAGTCTACAGGGGAGGAATCTCCATAACAAAAATTGTTCTGCCAGCCTTTAATATACTCAGCATCTTCCTCCTCCTGTTAACTCCATCACGGCTGCCTGGTAATCTATGTCTTATTTCAGCAAACGTCTTCGCTTTAGATGCGTTTCCACCAATGTTTTTATGCACATATTGAAGTATCACATTAGATGAGCTTGATGGAAACAAGTAACATTTAAAATCAACTTACTAAATTTTGCGAAAAACTTTTTTTCCCCGCTTATTTAAAGTGATTTTTGGACTTTAAAAAAAATAAGAGGAGATGGAAACCAGTTCTGATGTAGCGAATGTTTACCTCACATGACTGATCAGCTGTTTCTGCTACCAGCTTCCCGTTAGAATCACACAGCAGCAGTGCACACTTCCTTTGCATCCTTGCCCTCATATAACTGGGGGTTGTACCAGTGACTGTAAATTTGGAAGTCAGGGCTCAGATTAGTTTTCCCCTGATGTGAGCCCGATCTGATCTTTTCCTTCACCCATTATATCCTTTCTCAGCTCACGAAGGATAGCATATGGTTACCTGCATCGGGTTTCTGCTTGAATCCTTAAAGCAGCGGGTTTGGTGAGCATGGGTAATGTCAGTGTTGCTGCTTGATCAAAGGAGAGGTTTTTATTGAAGAACAGGGAAAAGTTGTGAAAATCATCTTTTTTATATTTGAATTTTATTAATAGAAGTTTAATTTATAGGTGAAGAAAGGGAGCACAGCTCAGACAAACCTTCGTTTAAACCATTTAGGTTTTTTCCAAGGTTTAACCTGCTTTCTGAAGGTTTGATAAACCTTACTTTTGATCTGCAGAACATCTAAACAACAACGGCATCTCTCTGCTCTGATCCACCTTAGTGGTTCTTCAGTCTGGTCTGCAGAGCCCCCTACCTCACCAGATGTTTGTCCCTGAAAATTGCTGTTTGGCTCAGAGATGAGTTTATGGGAAAGTGTAAAAGTGGGGCTGCAGTCCAATCAGGAGACTGGTTTTAATCACACCAACCTCAGCCCTGTAGTGCCTCTGAAATGAGTCACCAGGCTAGCTGTCGCCAGCAGAGACTGAAGCCATTAAACCTTCTTGGAGGCCTCCTTCTTGAATTCATTTTAAACTTTACTGGGTACCAGTTAAACTGACATACCTCTGCAGCTCAAATGAATCCTGCTTTTACTTTCACTTTTATGAACATGCTGAATGAGTGAAAGTTTTTAGGACAAGTTACTGGTTCTGTTGGAGGTGTGTTACTGTAAAAATGTAATTATTTCTCCCCACTATCATTGCATGCATGCCAGGGCATGTGTGTGCAGACAAGCATGGAGCGAGCAGTGGAAGAGCGCAGGGCGGTTTTCAATTCAAAGGATTTCGCTCCACTCCAGTTCGTTCCGAAGCACACACAATGTCAGTTAAAAATGATTGATTATAAAATTTGTAAAATAACATTTATTTGATTTAAGTGTGTTTTTTTTTTTTTTTTTACTATACTTAACTATACAGAGTGGGTTTACATAAAGTGGTCATTTTAGTAAGAGCCTGTTTTTAAAATGGATGGCATACATACATTATACGCTATTCTCTTAATGGGATGCAAAGTTACCTTTTTTAATGTAGTGTAGTAAAATAAATTAATAATTAAATAGGAAACGCGGCACAGAGAGTTTTTCGATTGGAGCGTCCTGGCGCAACTTTGAGCGGCAGAGCGAATGAGTAAACATCCTCCTGAACGGGGCTCCGTTCACATGCTCTGATGTGTGCTCTGTGTTTGTTGCAGAGCAAACAACACAATACAAGCCTGGATGCAATCATCTGTGTTTCCTCGGTTAGGAAAGTTTTCACCACTCTGTCTGTTGCATTAATCTAAGTTTCACTGGAGTTTTGGGTGCATTAACCCCAATAAATTAATTTATGCCAGGATGAAAAACTTAGAGACGAGCAAGATGTCAAGAACATCTCAGAAAGAGGAACTGAGTTTTTGATTATGTGGACCACAGACTAGTAAAAGCTGTTTTAATGGGAGCTGACACCAAAGAGCAAGTGTTGGTAACATGAGTGAAGCACCGGTGGTAGAAGGCCTAAACTTAAACAGTATAGCCAGTATAACCCGGTCCAATTAAAAACAACCACAGCTGACACAAGTGCTGTACCGAAAAAATAAAACGCAACAGATAAAAAAACAAATCAGCTAAAAAATAGGTAAAAAACAAATTTTTTTTAAAGGGTCTATATCAGGGGTAACCAATTAAAAATCAGCGGGGTCCGGTTAAAGAAAATCATCAACCAGTAAAAGTCCGGAGACATTTTTAATTAGAATCTGTTACCTAATTATTACTTAATTATTACAGAATTTAACACTGAAATAAAATGGAGTTATTATGCATACATGTTGTATATTGACTTTTATATATATATATATATATATAAAAAATATATAAAACATTTTAAAATCTAAAGTGTTTTTTGAAGTCACTCAAGCACATATCAAGGTGCTCATTTTGAGCCTGAATCCATATTTATTTTTGATTCTGTTCATGGAGGAGAATCCTGCTTTACAGCAGCAGGTTGAGTCAAACATACTCTAAATGTGCAGGGTCATCTTTGAGCACGCTATTGCACTTTTATGTCACCAGTTCACCACGCTTCTTCCAGCAGTCCATACTTTCTTTCACGTTTTCTCATCATTGTTACCCATCGCCCGGCTTGCCACAGGTTTGCCTGCTGTGTCTAAAAGTAGCAACAGCAGCAACCCAGACTGACAGCAGCTCATTGGATCATTTGTATCACATACAGCCTGTTGCTGGAGGGCTTTACCGTACAAACAGGAGAAGCGGCGCAAGTGAAGTTAGACACTGCCGTCTGACAACATTGGATAATTTATAAATGTCAGGATTAGCCAGCAGGTGGATCTGGATCCAGAAAGCGGTCCGCTAATCCATGACCTCTGCTCTATATCATATAGAATCCACCTGTAAGAACTATTTATATTGTTGCAATGCTCTTCTTGATCAAAATCAGGCCCAAAGTAGTATTGATGATGCGTGTCTGAGTTGACACCATTTGCAGCAGCTCCTTCCTGTCCTGAAAAACAAATCTCCATCACTGTTTCATGTAGCGCAGTGGTTAGGCGCCCCCTCCAGGAAGCACCTACAGTAACCACGCTACGCCTGCCCTGTAAACCACACGCCCACTTTCTCTGATCTGGGAGCAGGGATGTGAGCCAGGATATGATCATTTAATTCAAACCAAACAGGATGGAGTCTAATATAATGACTCCATTAAAGCTTTAGAAATAATTAGCAGTGTGTAATAGACTCAAGCAACTAATGAACCTCTGCTGATGGAGATCTGAGGACATTTAAAATGCTCAAATCTATACAAAGAAAAGTGTAAACAAATGTTTTTAGTAATAAATGACTGTTATTACTTTTTTAAAGCTATAAACAGTGAATATATCCATTCTATGCAGCATTGTTGTTTGTGATAAGCCCACATGTGTCCTGTTTGATCCCCCCTGTGCTCCGTCACAGCCAGGTAAGGCTGTCCCCTCCTCTCTGAACCACTAATCAATCTCAGCAGTCTCAGAACCACTAATCAATCTCTTCTGTGTTTGTGTTTGGACCTTTGTAAAGCCATTAAACCCCTAATTTGATTTAGAGACTCCCGCTGACTGCCCACTTCTCTCACTGAGCTGTTGTTGGAGCTCTGAGGCTCATGGAAACAAATGCTGGTCTAATTGAAACATCTGACCACATAGATGTTTGATCTGCCATGAGCCTTTGGGTAATAAGAAAATAGATTTCATGTGTTTATGCGTGATCAGATCATTGGAGAAACTCCAGATTCTCTTAGAGTTAACCTGGTACCTTTCACTTCCTTTACCGACTCACTTTGCTCCATCAGGCTAAGGTTACACCCTCTCTGGAGGACCAGTTATATTCTCTTCATGTTTTTCTCATCTGTTTCTGGGAGGCTGGATTTGATTAGCCTTCAGGTTTCTTAGTGTTCAGAAATCCTTTAGTGAAATTTGTTCCATTATGTTTGCAAGCAAAAAAACATGTTTAGTAAATGTAAATAAAAAAAATTCAATGAAATTTAAGCATTGGCATACACATTTTTTTTTTCAAATTGTTTTTATTGAAGCAAATGGTAAGATAATCCCAATAAGGAATACAGTTCGCTTTTTTTTGTGTGGATAAACATATACTTATGCAGGTATAACTTCTAATATATATACACAAGTACACATGTTGAAATAGTCACACCTACTACATATACAAACAATAAAAACAAAACAAAATAAGAACAATAAAAGGAGAGAACAAAACACCCCATTCCCACCCTGTCTCAGCCCAACATGTTCAGCAGAAAAATTAAATAAATAATAATGATAGAAGAAAAAAATCAGCAAAATGCAGCAACAGGCACATATATTAAATTAGGTAGGAGCTCCAAATTTGAAAAATAAGAAAGAAAACTCTGCCATTTTTGGAAAAAATTGTCTGTACATCCTCTCTTTGTATATTTAATTTTCTCAAGTCTAAGGAAAAACACCATGTCCTTAAGCCACTGGGTGATGGAGGGATATCTAGCAGACTTCCAGTGTAATAATAATGAACATCTTGCAATTAAGGATGTAATTGAATTTAATACAACTGAGGAATCAGAAATTCCAAATATGGCAGTCAGTGGACAAGGCTGCAGATTAACTCTGAGAATAGCAGACATAACTGTGAAGTAACCAGACCAAAAAAGCAGCCAGGTCAGGGCAAAAAAAACAACAACATATGACTAAGATGACATGGAGAGTCCTGACACTTGTCACATTTGTCTTCAATTTCTGGATAGATTTCACTGAGTCTGGACTTAGAGAAACAGACTCTATGAAAAACTTTGAATTGAATAAAACCAAGACGAGCACAAGAGGTAGTAGACCGCATGCTGTCAATTGCTGGCATACACATTTAAGAAAAGATCCAATCCAGCAATGAAGCTTTGAAAAACATTTTAAACCAAAAGAGTTTCTGAGAGTAACTTTGCTTTTTTCTCAATTTAGTTATTTTATTTTCAGATTTTTTCAAACATGTTTCCAAAGTTATATTTATCTAATTAAATTTTATTCATTTGACATATTTTTTTTTAAAGTTTCCTGTTTTTAAACTGAGTTTTAGTAATTACAATATTTTCAAATTTTGTTTCATATTTCCTTTCACTTGAAGCCCAAAACAAACTCGCTGTTAATCACAGATTGAAAGTGGAAATGTTATTAATGTTCATGCAGAACTCCAGAGGAAATGTTACTTGCTTTGTTAACATTTTGCTATAAAATGTTAAAATGTTATTTGAAAAAAAAAAACAATTAATAAAAATTATTTTATAAAAAAGTATTTAAAATATAAAAATCTTAAAAAATAAAGTTTAAACAAATAAAAACTAAAAAAAAAAACTAAAATCTGTTTAGCAAAAAATAAAAATGTAATAAATCAAAATATAAAAAGATAAATTTGATTAAAAAAAAATAATATTTCCTTTTGTTTCATGTTTGCCTGCCCTCCATCAGAGCCATGGAGGGACGTCGTTCCCTTACAGGGTCTTTAAGTGTTAGCAGAGCCTGAGAGAGGAGTAATACCTGTGTAATAATTTGTGAAGTAACATTTCAGCCCTTAGGTATGAATTCAAATTGAAGAGAAATGTCATCTCATAAGAAACACAATGTAGAGTAAATCCTCTATAAAAAGGGCAACTTTTGAAAGAGTTTGACCAGATGGAATTTTTAATGCAGGACCATTTCTCCTCCAAAAAGTAAAATCTTTTGTTCTTGTTTTGACTCGTTACCCTTCTTCATCAACAGAGGAGAAATATTTGACTGTCCAGCCGTACACCAGCCAGGGGGCGGATGAAGTGAGCTTTGAGAAAGGGGTCACCGTGGAGGTAATCCAGAAGAACCTGGAGGGCTGGTGGTACATCAGGTGAGTCAACCAAAGGGAAATGCACCTGTCTGAAGATGATTGTTACCATAAACTGGGTTATGGGATGTTCCTCTGTGATCTTGAGGGCACTAGATTTACACCCATATATCTGCTCTTAATAATGGAAGTATTTTAAAACATGTTAATATACACCAACTTTGTTAGGATTAGTTTTTCTTTTTAACTACTATTAATATTTTCTTACCCTACTTACAAACTTTTAGAGTAGGTGAATGTTTTTATCTTCTGGATAATTGTACATATACCTGTTTCTTTTAAGTGTCCAATTTTAGTTCATATTAAAGCAAATTAATTTGGCGTAGGTAAAATATTTTATTGTGAAAGAAGTGGGAGACAATCTTGTGTCGAAATTCTGGATCGCCGCTCTCAGAGCTCCAGCATCATCAGAAACTTTCTGTTCAACTGTGCAATTCATCCGCTGCTGATCAGTGTCCTCTTTTTGGTCCTCAGCCATCGGCTCTTTTTTTTTTTCTCTTTTCCTTACTTTAGTACAGATTTGACGAGTCACTATGGCAACAGGAAGTGCCTTTTTCACACAAACTAAACATTTTTATGCGGAAATAGCAAAAAAATGGGGATAGTGTTTAAAAGACAGAGCAACGGCTGCAAAGGAGAGGAATATGGAGAAGCAGAAGATTGCTGCATGAGTTAATGCTTTCATTTATATGTAGTCCTCTATGGCAGGCTGTTTTTATATTTCTTAAAAGATATCTCCTCTCTATTGTTTCATTTGTCTATCACTAAAAAAAAGTTTCTTCCTGATCAAGATCACATTCCTAGATGGAATAGTAAAACCAGATTTACTAAAATATTTTTTTTTTGCAGCAGAAACTGAATTTCAGAAAGCAAAAAAACCCCAAAAAAACAAAACAAAATTGCACTAGTAAGAATTAAGTTTACAAATTTTAAGAGGCCGTTAGGACATTTATGACTGAATATGTATTTATGAGATCTGAATTTTCTTTCTTTCTGATCAAAATGATACAAATTACAACCAGTAAAAATAGGAATATGGAGATCTGAAAGTCATTCTTGGCATCCAGATTTCGATAAGACATTCGAGGTTGCTTGAGAACCCAAATGCAGAGATCAGGAGGCAGAGTTGAGTCTTGCAGACTTAATAGGCAACTGAGGCAGAAATCCAAAAATACTGAGAAATAAAATGCAGATAACCAAAATGTCAAGGAGAACTCTAGTGGGGATCCAGAGATCAGACAGACCAGGAATCAGCAAACACAACAAACCAACACTGAGTGACTGCAGAGGTGGAGTATTTAAGGGGAACAGAACAAAGGATGGACTAATTAGCTGAATATGGAGCAGGTGTGAGTGGAACTAACTAGAAGTAAGCCAAGTGGAAAGGAAACAAGCACAAGGAGACAACAGAGAGTAACTAAAGACTGCTTGAATGTGACGGAAAATAAACCAAAGAACAAAACAGAACAACTGAAAACTGAAAAGTCAGAGTCCCAAATGGGGAGAAACATAACAGCCAAAGGTCAAAACAGGCAGCAACGCATCCCTGAGCAACAAATATTGGTGATATGGAGACGACTATAATTTCTGATAGCTGTTTAACACCATATGATTTTTCAGATGTTAAAATAATCAGTTATAGCTTGGTATAATGTTGATTCAATGTTAATTAAACAGTGGCATTTAAATCATTGGTATTTTATCAATTTTGTAAACATTAGTTAATTCAAGTCAACTACTGTGTAGTCTGTATAATTTTCCCTTATTTATAAGGTCAATGCATTTCTGCAGGGCAAGTACAATAACCCAAGTCACCTACTTTGTAGTCTTCCCTTAGCTCTCTACTTAGTAGATATTTTTATATTTGAGGGAAAAATATTCCTTCTTTGGTACTATATGCACTGTTTTTATATTGTTTGGTATATTTTTATCTTTAATTGCAGCTTAATTTAACTCTTTGTACTCTGCATAAGCTGCTTGAACCTGAATTTCCCTGAAGGAGTATTCCCAAGGATAAATAAAGTTGAGTATAAGTCTAAGTCAAATTGGTTAAAATTGGGTGATTGACTGATGGCTGATGCACCATCTTAACCAAAAATCAAATTTTGACCATAATTCAACATTGACTTTACATCTTTTTCTTTCTGAATACCTGTAGTTGATTTTATCAAAGTAAACCAATGATGTGGTGCATTATAAGCCAAGTAACCTTTATTTATATGGCTCTTAAAAACTATGTGTATCAAGTTTGCAATTACTATTTAATACCCTGTGCAATAGTTACTTATAATCAATTATACATTAAATTCATTACTCTGAGTGAAAATGTGGGAATTATTGTGATTTTTTTCCCCCCATGTAGTCACATCCTGATGTCAAGATAAAACTGTTTTCTTTATTTTAATTCCTTGTTCTCTTGTCTTTCATGTTTTCATTCTAACTAAATTTATATGACATGTATTAATTGTAACCCAGTGTTACGGAGACATTTATTATAACCAATCTCCTAAAGAACATGCAGCATCAATTGCTTTATTTACATACACTTTATTTGCAGAGCTTTTCTAATTAACAAAGAAAAAACAATCAGCAAGATGGGAATAAAAAAAACATCTTTTTGTCTGTTTCTCCAACAGATATTTAGGGAAAGAAGGATGGGCCCCAGCTTCCTACTTAAAGAAACTAAAAGATGACTTCTCGCCTCGCAAAAAGACCCTGACAGGCCCCGTGGAGATCATCGGAAACATCATGGAGATCAGCAACCTGCTGCAGAAAAAGTCGGTCAGCGAGAAGGACATCCAGACAGACGCAGAAGGAGGCACCACGCTGGAACGCCACATCAACAAGAGCGAGATCAGCCTGCCCATGCCCTACAACTCCGAAATCAATGCTGAGACGGGCAGGAGGCTCAGCGCCGGCCGGGACACCAACAGCCCCTGCCTGGGGATAGCCGCCAGTTCTGCTCTCAGTGAGAATAAAGCCAGAGGAGAACCCGGGTCCCCAGCTGTAGCACGAGTGGCTCCACACAGAGTGGAGATAGGTGAGGGTTTTTGTGGATGCTGAAGCCGATTTCATTTTTTACTTCGATCTATTTATTGACCCTCAGTAAAATGAAAGTAGGGGCTGTTTTTTTGTGTAAAAATAATGGATGCCATCTTTTCTGTGTAGGCTTCGAAGCTGTAGGTAAGAATGACTTGTGTACATGATAATGGTGATAAAGGGATTTATGTTTGCTATGCTAACCTGCATGGAGATCTAACCTGATGATTATTTGAGGATTTGTGGGTTTTAATTCCTCTAAAAAACTAAGATTGGCTCACGAATGTATTGGTTTGTTTTTTTTTTTCTTGGTTTAATTGCTGCTCTGTTACTCTGGCCAGACTGAGAAGTTTTATTATGTTCTTCAGGGTCTCCAAATCTGAGGCAGAAACCTCCTCCAAGAAGAGAAGCCAACCTGGTGAGACATATCACTACTAACCTAACCAAAGAAATACAAACATTCTTCTTTTTAATTTTGTTTTTGACTACTAGATAAACAATTTAACCAGTTTTACATTTTGTTGAGTGGGTCCATCTCCTCTACCCTTTCCTAGGGCCTTCAGTTACCCAAGCCACCAGAGCCCCCTGCTGTGGAAGCAGAGTATTACACCATAGCAGATTTCCAGTCCTCCATCTCTGATGGCATCAGTTTCCGTGGAGGACAAAAGGCTGATGTAAGAGGACAGATACAGAGTGTTGCTGCAGAGATGAGAGAGAGCTGATTGCATATGTATGTCAGCTGTGTGCGACCTTGAGACGTGTTTAACGGGATCAGGTTGAGAGTTTTCTCTGTGGAGACTCGGGCAGAAAGATAAAGACACCATTTGAGATACCTCAGGGGGTTTATGGGAGGAGTTGGGATTATAAAAAAACACATTAAACATCATGGGGGTCGTCTGTTCAGGCAATTTATTAGCATTTAATAGGATATTAGTGCTGCCAATTTTTTTTTTTTTAACCCATTTACCAATTAGCTTTCTGATTTGAAGATTTGTCTGAATGTGTTTTTTTTCCCTTCTGAACTGTTTGCTTTGTTTTTTACAAAAAAAACTTTATTGTATCCAAGAAATTTGAATGAATTAGGTTAATTTCAATTGCCTCAATTTAAAACACATTTCATCTGCAGGCTCTTTATACAGACAAATCAAATTATGCAGACATATTGGTTCAAAATGTCCATCTAAGGAAAACCAGCTGATTGCTACCAGTCTTTGCTGGATCTGTTCATCCTTAATGAGCTTGTAGAGCAAGTAGATATTCACATGTACTTTGTTGTTGACTCTACAGCAATTATGCAGTGACAGTAGAGAGGAAAGCCTCCCTTTTAACAGGAAGAAACCTCCACTGGAACCTGCCTTAGTGTCAGCGGACTTCTGCTGACTCATGGTTCAAGGAAAAAGACGCAGACATACAGAAAGAACATGGAAGCACTGATCTATGCATACTTTCTATGTTAGAAAGAGTAAAACTAAACTAGCTCCATGGTTGGCTCTGTCTAGTAAATAAACATGTACGATATGCGAGTGAGTTCTAAGCCAGTGTTCATGTTGACGGGATAAAAGGAAGTAAATAGAGTTAGTCACAGTACAAGCTGAGCCCAAAACCAGGTGTGAGAAACAGGACTAAGCAGTAAAAAATGAGAACAATTCTATAATCACACTGCAAGAAATTTATATCTACATAACTCATTGTTTCTTAAGATAAGTTCATTTTTTTTGAGGTAAGTGAGAGACTTTGCCAATGTAACAAGACACTTTGCAATAAAAATAAAAATCAATCCCATTGTCTTATTTAAAGTGCATATTATATTTAAAGTGCATATTGTTTTATTTTAAGAGTAAAAAATGTCATTCCATTGGCAAATCCTCTTAGTCACAACTCAAATTAAGGGTAAATATACATAATTTAAGGAATTTTTTATTTACCGTATCTCTAGATCGTTTTTGCAGTGCAGAGCTGTTGATGGCAGCAGCCCAGCTGATATTTCTCTCCAGGATGGTTCCACAGCCAAACAGGAACAGACCAGATGAAGCTACTATGATGAGGAAAAGCAGAAAGAACAACAAATTTTGGATTTAAACGAACAAATACTGCAGAACATGAGAAAAAGAGACCAAATGAAGCAGACTGATGGAAAGTGGCCCCTATGTCCTCTAGCAGTCTAAGGCTATAGCAGCATAACTATAGAGATAGCTCAGGATAACCTGAGTCACTCTAACTAACTTTAGTCATTGATAACTAAAAAATCTGCCTCCCAGATCCCAGGAAGGAGATGTAAACAAAACCCCTATAACTAAAGGTCAGATATTCTAAGAATAGATATAAAATAAACCAAGGGAGGTCTCCATTCTACACAAATAAAAAGAAAAATTAATCGTTCCTGTTGCAGCTCTTCTTAAATTGTCTTGCATTAGGCATATTTATGAAGAGACAACTTGTTCAATTACTGAGTGGATCAGATGATAAAAAAGATATTTATCTGCATGAGTGTCAGAAATGTTTATAATCACAAGTTACTTTGACTACTTTGAAACAGGTTTCTGTTTGTTTTGCAGGTTATAGAGAAGAACCCAGGAGGTTGGTGGTATGTGCAGATTGGGGAGATGGAGGGCTGGGCCCCCTGCTCATACATCGACAAGCGCAAGAAGCCCAACCTCAGCAGACGGAGCAGCACTCTGACTCGACCCAAGGTTCCCCCGCCAGCTCCTCCGGTGAAAAAACAGGACTCTGAGGAGGCTCCTCAACATCAAAATCCTGTCATTAAAGCCCCAGAGCAGCAAGGCAGACAAGTGTTTGAGGAACCGGAATACGATATCCCTGCAGTCGGATGTGAGGGCGAATCTGACGCTGAGTTTCTGAAGAACGAGCGCTCTCAAGAGCTGAAAACCAACAATGCGGTCACCGAAAAGTACCATAGCTCCCCTCCTTCAAGTAAAGCTCCGGCTCCAGTATGTAAAGCGTCCCCGGTTTTCGCTCATCGGAGAACCTCGTTCAGGTCTGTGGAGGAGGTCAGTAAAGAGGAATGTATCTATGAAAACGACGGCTTCAGGCTGAACAGTGGGAGTGAAGGAACCAGAGTTAAAGGCTCCAGCGAACCCAGTTCCCCTCGGAGCTACCATTCCTCAACAGTCCCACGGAAACCCTCTGGATCTTCCCCTTTAGCTGGTTTATCCAGGAAAACCGTCACCCCAGAGATGAGCAGAAGAAGCCAGACTCTAGGCAGACATGTAGACATGCGGTCTCAGGACAGCAGCCCTCACTCTTCATCCGACGAACAGGGTAGAGGAATAAAGAATAGTCCTGCCCTAAAACGAGATGTGGAAACAAGAATTGGCCAAAGCCCGTCCACCAGACCCAAGCCCTCTGTCAGACCTAAGCCCCTCCTGACCAAGTCAGAACCCCAGAGTCCTGAGAGAATGGACATCAGCTCTCTGAGACGGCAGCTAAGGCCTGCCAGTCAGTATCGGCACAGCCTCAAACCGACCCGTGGAGACGACTCGGAAACAGCCTCTGTCATCTCCTCAGAGGGCTCCATGTGTTCCCGCAGTACGTCTGATCTGTCCTCTGTATACTCTAAAGGGAGCCGAGGTGACTCAGACGTGGAAGGCCCAGCTGTGTACCGCTCTGTAGATGTTTACAAGAAGGTCCAGGACTCTGAGATCAGCTTTCCAGCCGGGGTGGAGGTGGAGGTTCTGGAGAAGCAGGAGAGTGGGTGGTGGTACGTCCGCTGGGGCTCAGAGGAGGGCTGGGCTCCCTCCTACTACCTTGAACCTGTCAAGAAGATGGCTGATGTCAGCATGTTGGATTCGAACGGAAAGAGAAACGGGGGCAAAAAGTCCAACAGCCTGGAGAAGAATGAGCAGCATGTTCTGGCTCTGAACAACATCAACATTCAGGGTCTAACCCAGCAGCACCAAGGTCTGAGAGGGAATTCTCCACCAATTCCTTCAAAGCCCCCAGGAGGGTTCTCTAAGCCCTCTGGATTGGTAAACGGAGGTGTACGGATGAGGAACGGCGTACGGCAGGTGGCGGTGCGACCCCAGTCCGTTTTTGTGACCACATCACAGACGTCTAAGGATTCCCACTACATGACCGGTTCCTTGAGAAGAAACGAGTCCCTTGGCAGAAGCGACCACTACAGCTCCGGTTCAGCAACTCTTGGAGTTCGCAGGAATGCCTCTTTCAGTACCGTCCGTCCACACGTCGTTGTCGAGAGCCAGACGAGGCCCGTTGAGCGCTCCGGACTGGGCTGCTCAGGAAGCGCCTTCAGCACCAACAACGTCCCGGACGCCCTGAGCAGAGTCAGCCAGCGCAACGGGATCCCCGTGTCCACCGTGCGCCCAAAGCCCATCGAGAAGAGCCAGCTCATCCACAACAACCTCGGCAGGGACGTGTACGTGTCCATCGCAGACTACCGTGGCGACGAGGAGACGATGGGTTTCACTGAAGGAACATATCTGGAGGTGTTGGAGAGAAACCCCAATGGATGGTGGTACTGCCAGGTACAGGACAGCCTGCTGCCCCGCAAGGGCTGGGTCCCGTCTAACTACCTGGAGCGGAAAAAATAGAACCAGGAGCTTCACTACAGCTGATGTCCTCATTAAGCCAGGGGCGGAGAGTCCCTACGAATGTTACCCACAATCCCCCTGAAGCAATATGTCCTTGATAATGTACTTATGAAAAGGAGGAGAAGGAGATGGAAGGGATGTTTTTTAGTGTTGGTTTACAGATAAGTTTTCAGAGAATGAGAGAAACTAGACCTAAAACTTGAAGACCTTTGAGGCAGCAAGGCTGTGGAGGACATTGATGTACCGAGGAAGAGCGAAACCTCTTAAAGCCAAGCAGGATACTGGCTCGCTGATAACAATGGCCAATAAGTGCCTTTTGTGTTTGACCACCCGGCGGCAGAAATTTGAATCAACCAAATCTTTTTTTTTTTTTTTTCAATGAGTGCCATAGTCCTGCGAACACCACCAAGAGTATTACCATTAGCTATTCAGAGATCCGTTATTGAGTCCAAACAGTTTCTGTCCAGAATCCAATAACTGGCCTAATGAACCAAATGAAGAACATTAATTCATTAAGGAGATTTTGTTTTTTCATGAATGCCTCTGTTATATTGTTGCGTTTGATGCAAGTCTTCCTCTGAGAATTATTTCTGCCGTCTTGAAACATCTGATTGAAGTTCAAGCTAACTCTGAACAAACAAAAAGGGTTGAAAAAATGTTTATGTTTGCACAAATTGGCACAAAGCGATGAATACATTCCTCAAAGATGTGATGATCTTCAGATATATACTATATATAAAAGCTTTTTCCTTTAAGACCAAAAACCCATTGCAAAATAATTACTTTAAAAAGAGTTTTAGCTCCAGGATATTTTGGTTTCTGATTGTATTTTTGTTTTTATGTGCATAAAATAAAGCTGCTGTTGGTGCAACATGTCAAATAAATGCTGGAAGTGAGAAATAAAAATATCCCAGGGACACACCAAAATGTGAACACACCAAAGAGGAGCTTCTTTTCATTGGGAGAAACATATTTTTCTATATTATCTATTATTTATGGATTAAATTGGGACGCATTGAGTATTAAAATAAGGACACTTTTACTTTGTTCCTGGAATTGACTTGAGCTGTTTTCACAAAATTATAAAACCAAGGAAACATTATATCAAGATATTTAATATTGGTTTCTCTTACATTTATATTAGTTTAGAAGCTTTTATTCAGTAAAGTTTCTTAATCTCCTTAAATAAAACTTAGCAATTATGGAAAAACACATCATATGAATATCCCACCACCAGAGTTATTATTGAACTTACAGATTTATTGACTGATGTTCAAGACTGCTGAAATACATTTTCTATCACACCCTTTAGGCTACATGTGTGTTTTATTTTATTTATGTTTCTGCTGGACAGTATCATAATCCTTAACAAAGTACATTAACTGCTCAAAGTTTATTTCAACAAAACCATACCATTATTCTTTGCTCTGTGATCACACAACGGCAATAATGAAGAATGAAGTTGTTCTGTTTTGTGAAATTAATGCACTTTAAAACATTTTTTTTATGGTGCATTAATGTAAAGATGCAGTAAGTACTCAGCATATTATTTATTACATATTTTTTGTTTAAGTATTTAAATATTTCAGCTCCAATGCTGCGTCAGCTGTTTTGGTACAATTGGTGAAACAGAGACCTCTTGTGGAGGCTGTGAGGTACTACATCATTTGCTACCTCAGTGCAAAAATAAAATGCACTGCTGGTCAGTGAGTATCTCCAAGAAATCTTTATTGTTCCTTTTAATCAAAGTGCAGCTAAATTTACTTGATTAATTTGTTACTATTTAATTTCTCTTATCGGGCACTAATTTATTTTCATTTATTTATGCTGTGGCCTGCAACTTTAGCAAATCACGAGCACTTCTTTCAGCTTTATTGGTCTTTACATAATGCCTGATTTAAAGCATATTTATTATGAGATTTAGATTTTTGTTTCTTGCATGATTTGACAGTCAGCATATTCACTTTGTTAAAGAATCTTCCCATCAGAATGATCTGACTCTCTGCCTCATTCAGAGTTTTATACTATATCGCAAGGGATGGTGTAATGGAAACGAAGAATTATGGATGGATGGAATTGGAGTTTGGTTTTGTAGGAATAAGGGAACTTTTCCTCCCTGCTTTGCTGATCTTTTAACCTCCAGCCTTCATGAGTTACCATTATAGTTAAAAGTACAAGATCCTGATATCAAGGCACTGAAATTAGGTTCCTTCAAGCAAGGATTCAAAATGAAATGGACTTGGTTTCCAGTGTAAAGGATCTTTTTTATTGTCACCCTTTACAACCATCTTTACAGGGCTTTAATGTGAAAGGTCAACACAGAGTAAAGCATAACTGCTACGTGGAAGGAGGTGTAGGCTTAGCACACTATGTAATAGAAGCGATTAGCTGAGGGCCTCTGGCTATCTGCTGCCCTTCCCTTTCATCCTAACAAGCAACCAATCATTAACGGCTTCTAGTGCCATGAAACCCTAAAATTAATAACCAGAAAGGTGTTAAACACATTTTATTGCAGTTACTGTAAAAAATATGGAAAATTGTTTTTCTTTCCAAATGAGCTCAGTCTAACTGGATGCAAGCTTCTTTGATCAATGTGTCTTGAGTCTTACCACTGATTTTCTGATGGAGTTTAGGCTCTGGACATTGACTCGGCCATTTTAGTACCTGTATGGGCTTTGATTGTAGCTCCAGTCTTAATATTAAGGGTTGTTGGAAGAGGAACCTTTGCCCTAATTTGACAGATTTTACCCATAATAGGATTTCCACTTATTGCCCCTCTGATTGGGTTATAGATTAGTTCATGTTTTGGATTTTTGTGTTGAAACTTCTACTTGATTGATTCTCCCACCTGAGCCTTGAATCTCTGCAGCTCTCGACCATCAGTGCTCTTCTTTCTTACCATCTCCACTTAGAGGGACGCTGATTTCTTAGTAGCTTAACTTTTAGACCAGGGCTCTGCAAAGAGCCATTTGGTCATGAGTCCAGCTAAATAAAAGTTGTTTAGAGCTGCAAAAATGACATGACCATTTCATGAAACTCAACTTATTTTCCTTTGCAGAAAAGTTGTTAAATTTTACAACAGACAGCAGTTTATTTTCATTTCTTAGTTTTTAAATTAGTAAGAATAAAATGTTTCATAAAGTAGAAACACATATTTTATTCGACAGGATATTTAATGTCCAAAAAAAAGAACAAAAAAAACAAAACAAAAAAAACCCACATAATTTCCAAGGTAATTACAAGACAAATAGACTTGAAAACATATTCTGTTGTAAAAATTCCCTTCAGATGTTCTCAAAACTTCTAAGGTATATGTTATTATACTATTTTGAAAGCTATTAGGCTCCCATAGATAGAGCCACTTGTGGCTCAACAGCTCCAGGTTACAGATGATGGTTTGACCGGAGGTTGTTCTGGAGCCTAATGCCGCCATGCTCATTGATCTTCATGATCCTGTTTTTTCTCTACAATCATGACAAACCAGAATCAGAACAGCTGCTTACTCAACTTAAACGTCTCTGATGTGGATCCTGAGCTTCTAAAAGTTCTACATTCATGCTCTACTTTGTGTTGGCCTTTTTACATGAACCCATATGCCTCCCAAAAGCATCAAGGTTTGGATGATGACAAACTGTAAAAAAAAAAGAAATATATGGGTTTTACCTTTTTGATCTAAACCATGATAGGCTGGGATTAATTTGGACTTTAAGGGAAAATAAACATCCAGATTTGATTTTGCCTTTTAACTGAAACCACAGTGAAGATGCTGATTGGTCCATTTAAGACGAAGGCATTATGTAACGTGTTGAATCACTCGAGCTCATTTTTACGTCAGCATATCGCTTTGTTTGATCGCTTTGAACCTCTCGTTTAAAGGGAATATTTCTCTACCAAATCTTCAATTGTTTGTGCAGCATTTATCTACGCTTTAAATTTCTCCCCCGTTTCTTTCTTTTTTCTTTTTTTGTATTTGTCAAAAGTTGAAATGTAACCCGTGAGGATATGTGCAATAGACAGAACAGTGCTGCAGATGTCTGCTGGGGACTGATGTCCTGGATCTGACCGCCGGTGCTGAGCTTGTCTGAAATAAAAACACATCGGACCAAAGCAGGAAGATCTCTTCTGAAACTCACTCCGGAGTCACATCACATCCATCTGGCAGCCTCTCCACACTCGGAGAACCACGGGCCCTGTCTTTAGGGGGCCCTCGGCGGCCCCCCTGCTTTGAGCTGTCACGTTTGTGCCTGAATGGACTTTTGATTTATTTCATGTGTGCTTGCTTGTATTTGTTTTTTTTCACCCTCCCTCAACCTGCAGAAAGTCTCCGCTGACATTTCCCCCCTCCCGTCGCTGTCAGACCCAGTCAGAGCTTCTCGCAGCCGTTCGCCACAGTAAAGGTGACATTTGGAAGCGCAGGTGATGGCGCGTTTGCTGACGTCAGCTTCAGAGGCTCAGCCATAAACAAAAGACCTGAGAGATGTTTCCTCCTCCAGGCCATTTCAGTTCAGCCCATCAACCTCCTGGATGTTCACCAAAGAGGAAAATCTGTTCTTTTTCTGAGCGCAGCGTCCCCTGATGTGCTACAGGTCAGGGAGCACAGCTTGTTAGGGGCCAGAAATCCTCTAGTTTAAGTCCAACTCAAGTTAGATGAAGAGCTGGAAACCATTCTCAGGCCTAAAGGTGGATGATGTCCTCTAAAGCATCTAGATTTAATCATCTAACAGTGAAGCCATAAATTCTCCAGTAAACACAAATAGAAATATGATCAACTTAGGATTAAACTAATTTTAAGTTTTTCCCCCTAAAAGTTTAGAAACGGTAACATGTTTTTGGAAATATATTGTTAAACATTTTGCTGCTCAGAAATCTGAAATCCGGCTGCAGTATAACACAGCATCATTCATTTACATGAAAATGTTTTAAAGTATTTCATGAACATTTAGAAAAACTGAGCTGAATACTTACTTATAAGCAGATTCACCTTAAGTTTTCAATTTAAAAAACATCCAAAAAGTGATGAAACTTTGTTTTTCGCAGCTCTGCTGTAGCATCTTCATCTCACAGGATTCTTTCCTTCCTGGTTTGCGTCGAAGGAACTGAACCGTTCTTCCAGCTGAAGCCCCTCTGGTCTCGTCGTCTGGTTTGGGGTTTAAAGGAGAACTGGGAATGGTGCACAGCTTCTTTTCCATCCTTCAGTAATACCCTTACAGCTGCTGCTATATTGGATTTTATTTTTAGCACCGTCCCTCCACACAGTTAAGCTTCCTCTTCCTCATAAAGCTCCCTGGTTGTCTGTTTGAATGTTGTTCAAAGTGTTTTTAAAGAGATGGATTTAGTGAAGGTGTTTTCAGGTTTAAGTTGGAGGTAAAGGAGGGTAAGCAGGAGGGAGATGTAAGCATGTTGGTCTGGGTTCCTCATTCAAAGCTTTAAAACATCACTTACTGAGTCCTTTACATGCTTTAAATATGTCGGTTTAAAAAGATAAACACGAACGAACCGATCATGTTTGACTTCAGATTCTGCATCTCCCTGATTGGTTGTATGGACCGAGTTTAGTTTCATTATTGGTGCAAGCAGATAAACTGTTTTGTAAATGAAAATTTGAACAGAAATATAAAGAAATGATTATGGAGTCCACGATCAACCAACAAACTACTATAGGGTTAAATCAGCCTGCCTCAAATATCTCCAATATTGGCTTCCTGGCAGAAAATCTCTGCTTCTGTTTCAAGTTGATTAACTATTTGGGTATTAATAAATTGTTCTCATACTCTTGTTCTTTATTTGAGTAATATCACTAATCAGGTCTTTTCTACCACCAAACACTACAAAGTAATAAAAGTGTGTATGATTCATGCCAATATCCAATCAGGTCAGTATCAGTATTGGCCAATACTCGAAGCTGCAATAACGTATATCACATTGAGAATTAAAAAATTTGAGATCCTATTGTTTTTTTAGATTATTTTTTATATGTTTTTTTCTAATTTTATTGTTTTTCATTTTTTTTTTTCAGATGCCGAAGACAATGTGATCTGTGAAAGGCTATTTGAAAAGAATGCAGGTCATTAAAATTCTATTTAAATAGAGACATTTGGAAAAATTAAATATGTAAAGCAAAAAGAAAATAAAAAAAAAATTCATTAAAAAGAAAAAAGAAATATAAGATTTGAAAAAATGAGAGAAAAAATATAAAGTGAAAAACTTCATTAAGAAAAAAAATCCCACAACAGATTAAAAATAAAATTCAAAAAATAAAATATGGAAGAAAATAAATTGCAAAAATGAAATCAGAAAAACAGCAAAGATTTTTGTTTAAGAGTTTTTTCAAAGTTTCATTTCTTGAATCGTTTACGAATCAATGATGCAACAAATGATGGACAAAAAACTCACTCCGTCCTTTAAGAGTTAGTTGCTTTGTTGAGTATTACTGTGTTGCAGTGGATGTCGAAGGTTTATTGGTGAGTTATGACATAAAGATTGTAAAAGAAGGTAGCAGCGGGAGCAATTTGTACTGCAGGACACGCAGGTTTAGGAAGTGTGAGGATGGTTCTGCAGGTTTTTAACTCACTTTTTGTTTCCTGCAGAGAGATTCCTGTAGAGTATCTTCCTAACAATTGGGGCAGAAAACCAATAAATTAGTTGTTTAAGTGAGCGCTCTGAGAGATTCTGGAAAGGGAGAAGCTGGAGCTCCTAAGGAGGAAGAGGAGGAGGCTGTGTCAAGGAACGATGCTTTCAGCTGTGAATAAATTTTTTAAAATTAAAATCCTTGTTTTTAACTAGGAAAACAGTTTAATTCAATTAAAGCGCAGATTTTAATCCAGAAATCCTGATTCTGGCGCTGAAGGAGGATGGATCATGTAACAGAGCTGGTTTGGTTTAAGTCTCTTTTCTGCATCTATGGTAGTGAACTCATCTCCTCCCTGCTTTGGAGCAGAGCGTGCCAAAATAATAAAATAAAAAAATGCAAGAAAGATCCTGCAGATCTGAGCTCCTGATCCGTAAATCCTGAAAGAAAACCCATTTAACCAGCCATGCTAACCAACAGCTGCAGGCCTTCAGTCGGACCAAACGAGGTGCTACTCTTCCTTGTTCCCTCCGTTCTCTTTCTCTGCGTTTGGTTGAAGCCTTTGCTGATTCCTTGTTTTCAAAGGACGTGCCATGAGGACCGAAAGTCCAGATTCCTTCCCGATCTGAGGCTTTTTCTTTTGAAAACAAGGCCATTTCTTATCCCAAGCTTCATTTTGATGAGTCTCAATGTATTTCTCTTGTTTTGTATCTTGTACATGTTTACATTGTATCTGCCCAAAAGAGAAACAATATTAAATGTATTATCTTTGCTGTTTTCATTGGTCTCTTGCTCTTTATTTTATTTAGGCCTTTGCCCTAGTGTGTAGGAACAGAACCTGGCAGCATAGAGGGTTTATTTTCTGTGCAGATTTATATCAGTTTTATCCTCCACTGTCTAACTTTGGCACATAGCATTCACTTCATTTCAGATATCAAAACTTAAGAGGGTTGTATCTGTCGCTGAATAGGTCATGTGAACCAGAGAGCTGCTTTACAGCAGTCTGAGTCTCTTAAACCAAGCCTGCCAACCATCCATAAAACACAGAATAGTCCTTTCTTGACAGTAAAGCATTGAGTCCCATATTGAACCAACAAGGATGTGATTTTTCCTGTATTTTCTTAAATATCCAACACACGTCCCTGACACACATTAGCATTTAATCTAACAAAAAAAAAAAAAAAAAAATCCCAGAAACTACTAAATAGCCTTATATAGCACTTTTTCAGGTGAGGAGGCTTGATCAAATCACTTTACAT